TCCCCTCCATTCTCCTCCTCAAGACAGCTGCCAAGATCACCAGCTTGCCTGCCCCCCGCCCTGCCCCCGAGGATTTTTCTTTAAAATTCTAATAAAATTGTAGCCAGGCGTGGTGGTACATGCCTTTAATCCCAGCACTTGGGAGGCAGAGGCAGGCGGATCTCTGTGAGTTCAAGGCCAGCCTGGTCTACGCAGTGAGTTCCAGGACAGCTGGGGCTATAGGGAGACCCTGTCTCAAAAAGACAAAAAAAAAACTAATAAAATTGTAAAAGCTTAAATCTTGTAAAAAAAATTTGTATAAGGCAGCAAATTATTATTAAAATGGACATTCTGATATTGGCATTACCGATTCTAGTCCAATATCAGTCTCAGAATTTTCAAGTGAACTTTTAGAGTACTGAAAACTTAGGGATTTCGTTTGTTAGTATCTAAGAAAGTCCCTGTAACAATGCAAGCCCTGTTGATAACGAATGAGCACTGAACATGTGGTAACCAGGAGCTCACAGTCCCCAAGAGCTTTATAATGGATGGGACTTAACCATGTTATACTACAAAGGGTCAGAATCTCCAGATGTAGTGATTGCCTCACACAATGGTAAGTAAGAGTTTTCCTATTACCCATTCTATACCATTTAATGGAAAAATGGACCTACCATGAAGTCTTTCATCATTCTTAGAGAAAAAGAAAAATCTAGTGGGCTCTTTCCCCGGAAATGCTTCTTCTCTGAAAATAGGTGGGAGAAAAAGGCAGAAACAGGTTTAGAAACCAACCGGTTTACTTTCAATATTTAAGAATAAATAAATACAAGTTAAGTGTGGTAGCTACGCCTATAACTCCTGGACTTGGAAGGTGGAGGCAGGAGGATAAGGAGTTCAAAAGTAGCTTGAGCAGTATGAGCCTGGTCTTAATAAAGAACAAAGGAGAAATAATTACAGTGAAATTATAAACTATTTCTTTTTTTGTTTTGTTTTCTGAGACAAGGTCTCACCAGGTTGCCCTGGCTGGCCTAGAGCTTACTATATAGACCAAGCTGGCCTCAATCTCACAGAGATCTGCCTGCCTCTACATTCCAAGTGCTAGGATTGAAGGCATGTGCTACTATGTCAGACCTTATAAATTATTTCTTAAAAACAGCTGCTTTGGGGGTGCTGGAGAGATGGCTCAGTGGTTAAGAGCACTAGTTGCTCTTGCAGAGGACCTGGGTTTGGTTCTCCCACATGGCAGCCATCGACTGTCCTTAACTCCAGTTCCAGGGAATCTGATGCCCTCTTCTGGCCTCCTCGGGTATTGCATAACATGAGTGCACTTACATACATGCAGGCAAGACACTCATACACATAAAAGAAAAATAATAAAATTTTAAAAAAACAATAACCACCACCCCAAGGTGTTTTGTGTTCTGCTTATGCTTGTTTTATTTCTCTGTTCTTAACTGTTCATGTGATGTGTTTGTTTTGAGACAGGTTTTCTCTATGTAACCCCTGGTTGGCCCAGAACTCACTTTGTAGACCAAGGTGGCCTTGAACTCACAGAGATCTGCCCGCCCCTGGCTCCTGAGGGCTGGGATTACAGATGTGCACCACCATGCCCAGCTAACATTCTTCTAACGCTTGATAATGAGGAATTCAATACAAATTCTGTCTTCCCCACTCTGGATGGCAATACTCATTCCCATTTGTTGCCGTTTGTCAGTGTTCCCCAGCTAGCACCCAGCCAGCTGCAGCCATCTGATTTCTAAACCAAGAACATCACCATCAGGCTCACCTCCCTATGCATGCCTCATACTCTCCGGTAAAGGAGCTGAGAAAAGCTGTTCTCTATGTTTACAAAATGCTTCTAAAGCATATGTGACTCTGACTTTACAAACTATAAAATATGCTTGCACTTACCCGGGGCTGGGCTTTTTGTGATCTGCTTCCTCAGGAACATCTTCCTCTTCTGAACTGCTATCTTGGAAATGGGGATCTCCATGACAGACAATCTTTCCATGTTTCACTGCTTCAACTCTATAGGTGTCTATATTTTTATCACAATGAAAGGTGATGTAGTTATAACTGAGCAACCTTGTATTTCTGAAGACATTAAATTGATCACCTGTACTATGCAAACATACCTAGGTTTTTCATATATTCATTATTAATTTAAAATGTGTATCATCATTTCCCCCATCTCCAGTGTTGGGGCCCAAACCTGCAGCCTTGTACATGCTAGGCGAGTACTCTACCACTGAGCTCCAGTTCCAGTCTCTAAAAGTAGATTATTATTTTTTTTTCTTCCGGCCTTTTTTGAGACAGGGTCTCCCAGTAGTCCCAGCTGTCCTGGAACTCACTATGTAGACCAGGCTGGCCGTGAACTCACAGAGATCCGCCTGCCTCTGCCTCCCAAGTGCTGGGACTAAAGGTGTGCCCCACCACTCCTGGCAGCATTATCTTTTTAAATTTTAAAATATTGAAAAAAGACTATCTTATTTTTGGGATTGTTAGAATAATCAGATAAGGAATATAACATTACAAAAAGATGCTGTTGAGTGGTGGTACATGCCTGTAATTCCAGCACTCACTTGGGCAGCAAAGGCAGGTGATCGCTCTGAGTTTGAGGTCAGCTTGGTCTACATAGTAAATTCTAGGCCAGCAAGGGCTATATAGTGAGGCCCTATCTCCAAAAACCAAGGAAATAAGAAAACAACTACAAAAAGGACATTAAAAAGGGCTGGCTAGAGGGCTCAGGGTTCAAGAGCACTGGCTGCTCTTGCAGCCAAACCAGGTTTCATTCCTGGTACACACATGGCAGCTAACAACCATCTGTAACTCCAGTTAGAGGGGATTCAATACTCTCTTCTGGCCTCCACAGGCTTTGCATGACATGGGTGCACTTCCATACATCTAGGCAAAACACTCATATGCATAAAAATGAATAATAAAAATGTTTTTTTTTAGAAAAAGTCTACAAATTTATAGACGAACAATATAATTTTCTTCTTAAAAATATTTTATTATTTTAATTTTATGTGCATGAGTTTATTGCCTGCAATGTATGCAAATGCATCCATGTTGAGGAGGTCTGAAGACAGTCCTAGAATCCCTGGAACTAGAGTTATGCATGGTTATTAGCCACCATATGGGTGTAATTGAACCTGGGTCCTCTGCAAGAACAGCCAGGGCTCTCAACCACTGAGCCTTCTCTCCAGCCTGAACAATATAATTTTCAAAAAGAACAAATAAGTATGATATCAGTACTATTTAGAGATGTCTACAATATAACCAAATGTAATGAAACCTGATTCTATTCCTACTTATTTATATACAAGAAAAGGAAAATATTTTTGCTTTTATTTCTCAAAACTAATTCTAGAACTGCCATAAGATCTGGACGATCCTTCACATGTTTCCAAAACTACTTTTAAAAAGTAGATTTCAAGGCCAATTTCTCATATTCAAGCTCTCAAAGTTAGAGTATTTATAGTTCATACTCTACAACACTACTCAACAGTTTAGGCACTCAAGGTGCCCACATAGAAGAACATAAAGCAAGCAGAATCTGGTACACTGTGTCTTATTCACAAATTTTGAAAAGCTATGCCACTTCTGTAGTTATTTTTGGAATAGTATATTGCTGACATTCAACATGTATCTGTTAAACACATACTACTACTTTTAAATTTAAAACATTATTACAGGCAATTGTGAGCTGCCCAGCATGGGTGCTGGGAATGAAACTCTGGTCCTCTGCAAGAGTAACACATGCTTTTAACTACTGAGTCTTCCCTCCAGCCCCATATACTGATACCTTAAATGCTGATCTTTGAAGTACAATCACCATAGTTAATTGTGCATATCTGCTTCTGAATATATTTATCCTGGTTTTTATAGGGAACATCCATAAAAACTATCATAGATCTTTTATACTGTGAGTAAGGAACAAATTGCAGAAAGTGTTTTAGCCAGGTGTGGCACAATTTATCATCTCAGCACTGGGAGGGTAAGGCAGGAGAACCATGAGTTTGATTCCAGCCATAGCTACATATGAAGTTCCATGCCATCCTAGGACACAGAGCAAGATCCTGTTGGTCTTCATGACTAAATCTTTTGAAATAGGATATAAAATTGTAGGAACTGGTGTTTACATGTTTCCCTACATTCTATCAAATCTAAAAGGATAAACTTTGAAATAACTGGCATACTTATAACACAGCATATTTCTTCCTTACTTTTATCATTTCCAACACCACTTCTCTGTAAGTCATGGCACCTCCAGCTGCATTTCAGAAAGAGAGCTAAGCTCGGTGTGGTGGTGCATGCATTAATCTTTAATCTCAGCATTCCGGAGGCAGAGGCAGGTGGATCTCTGTGAGTTCAAGGTCAGCCTGGTCTATATAGCAAGTTCCAGATCAGCTGGGGCTACAGGGAGAAGCTGTCTCAAAAAGACCCCCAAAAAAGAGAGCTATTTAAATGATTTAGTTACTTGTTCATGACTGTTTTTATGTAACAGAAGAAGGGATGTGGGACATTAATTTCCAGCCTCCACTCCACTGGCATGTAAGCTAGGAGTCGGTGCCCTTCAATGCCAAAATAGCTTTTTTCATACCTATAGGAACACTGCATTTATAATCATGCAATAGTGAATCTCATATTTACTTAGACTGGAAAAAGGATCCATTATTAAGACATGAAATTCATTATTCATGTCTTTATTTTTGTGTGTGTGTGTGTGTGTCTTTTTGAAGCAGGGTCTCTCTGTAGCCCCTGGAACTCACTATGTAGACCTATAGACCAGGCTGGGCTTCGAACTCACAGAGATCCACCTGCCTCTGCCTCCCAAGTGCTGGGACTATAGGCGTGCACCACCACGCCCAGCTGAAATTCATTATTCTTAATGGAGTCTTAAACTCAATCTGCCTAAATTTAAAAAGTGGGGAAAAAGAGACATACCTTTCTTCACATCTTTAGTGTCTGAATCAAAAAAGGAGAATGTGAATCCACTGGTCGGCATTTCCTCACGCGGCAGAAATGCAACATTGATTTCCCCAGTTTCTCGATCGCAATCCTCCTTCTGGGTGATGTCTTCTTTTTCATCTGTATCTTTTGTAGTTTGGAATAGGTCTTTCAGATCCGTGGCAATGTCATAATACATCTCTGTAGACACCTCAGGCAGCTTCTCAGCTTCTTCCCTTTTCTTATTTCATTTTGCTTTACTGAAATGATGTATACCAACATGTATATAACAAAGACAGGTTCCAAAACACTTCCAAAGATCAGGAAAGGTAAATTCCTTGGATAATTTTAACTTCATCCTTGGATCCTGAACAGTTAAATTTTTTTTTTTTTGGTCTTTTTGAGACAGGGTCTCCCTTAGTTCCAGCTGGCCTTGAACTTGCTATGTAGACCAGGCTGGCCTTGAACTCACAGAGTTCCACCTGCATCTGCCTCCCCAGTGCTGGGATTAAAGGCGTGCGCCACCATGCCCGGTAATTTTTTTTTTTTTTAAACACCAATTATCTCAAAGAGATGCAAATATTAAACATGAGTATTTTCTTCTTATCCTTTAAACTACACTGCAGGAACTGAACTATCACTTAGCCTCAATGTGTCTATTTCCTCATCTGCAAAATGTGAATGTTAAGCCAGATGGCTTCTAAGATCATTATTATTATTTTATGTGTATGAGTGTGTAGCCTGCATGTACATAAATGCACAGATGGTCGTTAGCTGCCATGTGGGTGCTAAGATTTGAACCTGGATCTTCTGCAAGAGCAGTCAGTGCTCTTGACCACTGAGCCAAATCTTTAGTCCCTAAGATTATTTAAAAATTTAAAATTCTGCACATTTTGGGGCTGGAGAGATGGCACAGCAGTTAAAAGCACTGGCTCCTCTTGCAGATGACCTAGGTTCAGTTCCCAGCCCCACATGGTAGCTAACAACTGTCTGTAACTCCAATTCCAGGGATCCCATACCCTCCACTGGCCTCTGTGGGCACTGCGTGACTCGGGTACACTTAAATACATGAAGACACTCATAAATGTAAAATAAATATAAATAAATCATTTTTAAAAATTCTGCATTATTTTACCAGAGCAATGGAAAAGGAATCGATTGTTTTGGGGATAAATTACAAATGTACTAAGTCTAGTAGTCTCTTGTAAAAAAAACTTCTATGTTGTCATAAATCTTCTCTATATTTAGTAATGAATACACTTCTGTTTGATCCTAGACATAGCAGTTTCCAACACTGTTTTCAGCTTATTAGCTAAAACATATTTAAAATACAATTAAAAAGCATTTTTCAATTACAAGTCCATTTCATATAGTATAAGAACAAGTCAAGGTTTTTTTTATGTCTTTTTGAGACAGGGTCTCCCTGTAGTCACAGCTGGCCTGAATTCACAGAGATCCACCTGCCTCTGCCTCCCAAGTGCCAGGATTAAAGGCGTGCACCACCATGCTCGGCTTCAAATGCTCTTAATTATACTATCTAAAATGGGAGTGAACATGATGTCCTAACTGACTGTCTTAATGGTGGAGACCATCTGAGAAAGAGAAACTATTCATACTTCATAACGTAAGCCAGCCAGGCTAGATTTCAAAACATTTAAGCCTCCTATAGAAACTGAACTCTACAAATAATAGTGTCATATAGACAGTTTCAAGCTGTTATCACTGAATTACCATGTCGTGACTTTTAAATTGGCCTTAAAACTCCATGATACGTCTTTTAAGAGGTGGAAGTGAATTCTTCCATTCCTGGAGCACAGGCTAGACTTAGTGATCTCTTTTAATGAAGAGAACATGGCAGATATAGTAGCATGTGACTTTTGAGACTAGAGTCATAGCAAAAGCTTAAAGGATCTTGAAGAAGCTGTTAGTAGAAACCACATGGCCTTTGAGGCAGCTAAGGGCTGGCAGAAACGCCAGTGAAATTATATTGGAAATTGGAGGGTAGAATTCTAGAATCCCTGACACCTATATATTAATATACAAAATAGAACAAGTAGCATGGGGATCTAGCTAAGGAGATGTTCAGGAAAGCACTGAAGGCATTTTCTGGTTTCTTTTTGTACTTCTTGTAAGGTGTTAGAAAACAGAATAAAACTAAAAGGGAAAGATTATTTTCCTTAAAGAAGCCAGGACATTATAGGTTTGAAGATGATTAAAGAAGGCAAATTATATGAAATTTAAGAAATCGTTCCTAAGGAAACATCAAATCTATGACACTCTCAGAAAACATGATCTAAAGCATTTACACTATAGCAAACTCCTATGGTCCACATGTCAAATCTAGGCCACTGCTTGTTAATGTCTTCAGTACATGTAAAGAATAGTTTCTACTGTTTGAAGTAATTCATCAAAAAATAGAGTTCATGTAATGCAAAAATTATACATGATATAAATTTCAATATCCACATGCTGTTTTTCTAGTAGAAAAAAAAAGTTAAAAGTATTCATAACTTTTGTAGCTCATCTGGCCTGCAAACCTAACTTACTATCAGTCCCTTTATAGGAAAATCTAGACTACTTTAAAAATGAAACAAAATCCTTTTTTTTTGGTCTGTTTTGAGACAGGGTCTCCCTGTAGCCCTAGCTGGCCTGGATTCTCTATGACCAGGCTGGCCTCGAACTCAGAGATCCGCCTGCCTCTGCCTCCCGAGTGCTGGGATTAAAGGCGTGCGCTACCACGCCCAGCCTAACAAAATCCTTTTTTAAAATCCTAGACAGAGGGATGCTTTCAGAAGCCCTTGTCAAGAAACGCCAATGGACTCTCATATGAACATTTGAAAACTGCCCTGTTCTGACTTTTTTCTAGTTCTGTTTAGAACTTGTAATGCTAATTATTCTTGCCTTTACTTCTTCACATCTCCTATTCAGGATTCAAAGACTTTCTTTTCCTCCTTGAGGTAAAAGTTATGCAATTTGGGAGTCTTTTATATAAACCCACTGAAGGGGTACTCCAATTGCCTCACCCTGCATCCCTGTTCAGCTTGGAAGAAGCCAGAGCGGTCTGCATGCTGATTCCCTATTGGCAATTTGGGTAAACTCTTCAGAGGATGGTGTGATAAGAATAGGAGGTAGGAATTCACGAGGCAGTTAGGGTAAAAATACCCCAAAGAAAAGCAGCCAGTTTCTGGGCTAAAACTCACAATGTCCTTGGGCCTCTTAGCAACCTACTCCATTCCAAAGGCCAAAAATGTCAAAAATATTTGGGAGCTTTTATCTAATCCTTAAAAGATTTTAGGGTTACCTCTTCAGAAGGGGGAATGTTAGATTAGCCAAAAGCCCCATTAAAAATAAAATAAAGAAGAAGAAAGAGTACATGAAGTTATCAGAAAAAGCGTGATGGGAAGATATGGGAGGAGTTGGAGGGGAGGGAGTGGGCATGGATTTGATCAAAACACCTTATATGCATGTATGAAATTCTCAATCAATTATTTAAAACAAAAACAAAAACCCTAGACAAAGCTAAGGAACTTTGGTTGTTCAAACAATAGGGTCTCTATGGAGTTTACTAAAGGCATTGGATTTCAGCAGTTTCAGCAGAAGTTGAAGATAAAACAGATCCCATTTACCTTTCTTTAGCTTTATCATCTTGTTTTCTTTCGTAAGTAGCATGGTCATCTCTTGTTGGATCATAATGTATGATGTCCCTGTATAACATGAATGAAGGTTGCAAGAGATAAATTGGAACATTAATGCAAGCAATTAATGGCAAATCACAATTTGACATTAAGGGAAGAGTCCAGTTTGGGGGCTGTGATGGTTAGTTTTGGTTGTTGACTTGATATAATTTAGAATCACTGTGGAAAAGTTTCAATGAGACACTGTCTAGATCAGGTTCACCAGTGGGTATGCTTATAAGGGATTATCTGATTACATTATTTGAGGTGGGAAGACTCGCCCACTGTAGACTCTCTAGATGAGGAATTCTGAACTGCATGGAGCAGAGGGAGCTAGCTGAACACAAGCATGCATGGATTCATTGCTCTCCATTCCTGATTATAGATGTGATGTGACCAGCTCCCTCAAACTTCCTGGCTATGATGGACTATAACCTCAAACTGCAAGTTGAAAAACGCTTTCTGCCTTAAGAAGCTTTTGTTAGAGTATTTTGTCTCAGCAGCTGGAAAGGAGATTAAGACAGGGGTAATATGAAGTTAAAAGTTATAACATAGAAAAGAATCAGGATAATGAAAAGGAACCAGAGAGGTAAACGGAAAGAATTAGGACCTATTTAGAATAATTTTTTTTTTAAATTTTCATTTATTATTTTTATTTTATGCGCATGTGTGTATTGCCTGCATGTATGGAAGTGCGTCCGTGTTGTGCAATGCCCACAGAAGACAGAAGAGGCCATCAGATCCCCTGGAACAAGAGTTACTTGACAGTTGTTAGCTTCTATGTGGATGCTGGGATTCAAACCCAGGTCTTCTGCAAGAACAGCAAGTGTTCTTAACTGCTGAGCCATCTCTCCAGCCCCCTAGAATATTTTAAATGATCTAGTTTTGCATTTCCCTGGATCTACTTTTTTTTAATTATTATTTTATGTGTATGAGTGTATTGCCTGCATGTATGTTAAGTGTACCCATGTCATACAACACCCAAGAAGGTCAGAAGGTGTTGGATCCCTTGGAACTGGAGTTACGAACAGCTGTTAGTTGCCATGTGGCTGCTGGGATTCGAACCCAAGTCCTCTGCAAGAGCAGCCAGTGCTCTTAACTGCTGAGCCATTTCTCCAGCCCCACCTGGATATTTTTAAACCTTAAAAATTATCTTATGCTCAGAGGGTAAAAGTACCTGCTCCCAAGCCTAATGACCTGAGTTTGATCACCAGTACCCACATGGTAGAAGAAGAGAATCAACTCTACAAAGTGATCCTCTAACATGCACACATGATGCATGCATGCACACACACATGTACAAATATATGTTAAAAAAAAAACTCACTCAAGAGGCAGAGGCAGACAGATTTCTGTGTGTTTGAGGCCAGCCTGGTCTACATAGTGAGTTCTAGGCCAGCTGGGCTACAGGGAGATCTTTTTCAAAAGAAATATTATCTTAAAGCTGGATATAGTGGACGCATACTTGTAATAGCAGCACTTATGGCGAAGGCAAGAGGCCTGCACAAGTTTGAGGTCAGCCCTGGGTGGCATAGTAAAATCTAGCCTCAAATAGGGGAGGGGAGGTGAATATGCTAAAAATATGTTGTATGGAATTTTCAAAGAATTAATAGGTGTGCAGCGGTTTCATTATACTAATCTCTTTATACATTTGAACATTTCCATAATAGTTGTACTTATAGAACTTAATAATTTTATACTTAGTATTTAAAGTCACTTCAATTGGTTAATGGAAGCAATGCCATGACATTTCTGCATGCAAATATACATATATACATATACATACATACACACATATATACACATGTATTTATTTTGTATTGTTTGTTTTGTTTTTTGAGACAGGATCTCCCTGGAGCTCCAGCTAACTCACTTGTAGACCAGGTTGGCCTCAATCAGAGATCTGCCTGCCTCTGCTTCCCAAGTACTGGGATTAAAGATGTGCGCCACCATGTCCAGCAGGATATAAATATTTTAAAGTCTGGTGCAAGCTGGCAACTGTTCTTCCCAGAAATTTAAAAATGATGCAGCTGGACTAGAGGTATAGCTCAGGGGTAGAACAAATGAGTGGCAAATGAAAGGCCCTTAAATAGACCATTACTATCACAAGAACATATCAAAGCAAAGCAAAAGAAAAAATTAGTTTTAAACTGAGGTCAATAGGCATTTATGGCACAGGAAAACATCATGAACGTGTTAGAAGGTAAACCATACTTAAATTTCTTAGCAGCTACTGTTCCTTTGCTTGTAGGGTTGTTCAAGTTGATATTCAAAACACTTTGCACAACATTCAGGGTTTTCTTTCTTTCTGCAGCAAGCTCTTCTTCCTCAGTAGTTTTATTTTCATTTACTTCTTGAGGAAAAAGAGTAAGTCATAATGTCATGACACATACAGGTTGAGAAAGCTCGATCCTCAAGCATAATAAGCATTTATATATGTTCAAAGTACATCAAATTAGAAGACAAGTTAAACCTCATATTTGCTAATCTATTTCTAAAACTTCATGTCATAACAAACATAGAAATCACATGACCAGCAAACAAAATATCTAGTTTCTATTTGTAACTGAGAAAATGAAATCTAGATTTAAAGGTTTCAGTGGCAAGACTGAAAAACAACACATCATGATACTAATTATAAAAGTAAAGTGATTACAGTTCTAATATTTCTTAACAATCTAAAAATGCTACCTAGATTAAGTTCTAAAAATGACATCGAAATGCTATTTTATTATTAATTTGGCATATTATAGGACAGTTGCTTCAATCTTTGACTCTGTAATAAATACTGCAGAAATATAAAAGTGTGCTTTACACTTTACATAAGCTACTAGTCTTAACTAATAGAAACAAATACCAAAGAATACAGTTTAACAGCTAGTTTAGGTAACAATAATACAAAAAAGTCTATACCTTCCAGACTTTCAGATTAGTGCAAGAAAGTACCAACTAATGAAAACTAAAATAAAATGTGATTTAAGATTTTCTCTACAGAAAAGTTCCCAAATTTTCTAAGAGTTTTTAAAAAAAAAATAGTGTTCAATTGGACAAAGAAATATTTTAAACAAAACAAAAGATATGTACATTACATTAACTCAAGAAGGAGAAAAAAACAAAACTAGAGGGTCTTAGACTGGAAAAGGAAGTGGGGGTACTCATTAAAGGTGGCTAAGTAAGGGGTAGATCTTATAGAGAAGTATGGAATCTCTGCTGTGAAAAATCCCACAGGAAGTAGACCTAGGATGCTTCTGATGGCATCACTACTCAGATATATCACTACTCAATTAAGAATGAATTCAAGGGCTAGAGAGATGGCTCAGTGGTTAATAGCACTTGCTACTCTTGCAGAAGACCTGGATTCAGTTCCCAGCACCTACATGGCAGCTAGCAACAGTCTCTAACTCCAGTTCTAGGGGATCTGATGCCCTCTTCTGGCCTCCATGGATACTGCAAGACATGGGTATCAGGAAAAACACATACACATAAAAACAAATAAAAACTTTTTTAAAAGAATGAATTCAATAGAAGCTTTTTAAAAAAAGCAATACACTCCTACACAT